AAAATACCTGAGGCTTCCTTGATTCTTCAGCTGAATTAGCAACGGCATCAAATCCAACATATGCAAAGAATACCGCAGCGGCGCCTCTGAATATATTGCTTTAAACCAATTCGAAACAGGAGAAGCATAAAACAAATAGAAACATGTTGATCTGAAAAAAAGAAAGAATTATTAACTCCCATCACAGAAAAACAGTCGAGATAAGAAAATAAACCTTGAAAAAGACAAAATAGCATCCAATTGATCTGAACTGAGTATAAAATACCTGAGGCTTCCTTGATTCTTCAGCTGAATTAGCAACGGCATCAAATCCAACATATGCAAAGAATACCGCAGCGGTGCCTCTGAATATATTGCTTTAAACCCATTCGGAACAGTAGAAGCATAAAATACATAGAAACATATTGATAAAACGGCAATTGTTTAAACCCATTCGGAACAGTAGAAGCATAAAATAAATAGAAACATATTGATAAAACGGCAATTGTTTAAACCCATTCGGAACAGTAGAAGCATAAAATAAATAGAAACATATTGATAAAACGGCAATTGTGATTGTCGTTGCTTTAAACTCATTCGGAACAGTAGAAGCATAAAATAAATAGAAATATATTGATAAAACAGCAACTGTGATTGTCGTTTTGGGCCACCTAAACCCATTAAGGCTACTTTGGAAGCGCTATTAATATTAAAATAAGGATTGATATAGATTACTGTACACCAAAACAGGAGAGCACGCATAATGTAATCCGGTCCGGTGAAAAATTCAAATTAAATCTTGAAGTTATATAACTTGTGTTTTTATATTAGAAGTTAAAGAATATATTAAATATATATTTTTATTATAAATTTAGGTTAAAAAATAAAAATTAATTTTAAATTTATTAATTATTTAATATTAAAATTAATATTAATTTTTATATATTTTTATATATATATTTGTAATTAAAAAAAAAATACAAAAATACAATCTTATGCTGCACCCTAAGTGTTATGAGGGTTGAAAGTTGAAACCCCCTTTAAATCAAGCCGCTGATTGTTCAGCGATAAGAACTTGTCTTTTCATTTCCTTCATCCGCCCTCCCTCTCTCGGCTGCCTTCTGCTCTCTTCCTCCTGCTTGGCGGAACTCGAAGCTGGAAACGGAATGGATGCCGATGCCCTGTCCAAGGCCTTCGTCGAGCACTACTACTCCACGTTCGATGGGAATCGTGCTGGCCTAGCGAATCTCTACCAGGAAGCTTCGATGTTGTCATTCGAAGGTCAAAAGATCCAAGGTTCACAAAACATCGTCGCTAAACTCACCAGTCTCCCCTTCCAGCAGTGCCAGCACAGTATCTCCACCGTCGATTGCCAGCCTTCGGGCCCCGCCGGTGGCATGCTCGTCTTCGTCAGTGGGAACCTCCAACTCGCCGGTGAACAGCACGCTCTTAAGTTTAGCCAGGTATATATACTTTTTGCTTAATCACTTGCGCTTTATATTTGAATCCTTGATTCTGTGTATCTCTTGTAATGCAATCGTATTTGACTTCAATTTTTTTTCCGATGCTTGTTAGGGTTTGAGGGTTTCGATGTGTAATTTGAGACCGATCTGCTGCTGATTGATGTTGATTTGTTTTATTCTTGTCATGCATAGTGTTAATTCCGTTGCTTCTATGCCTCCATGTTGTTTTTTTTTATTGGTATAGGAAGATGTAGATTCGATTTTGCTCTGATTTGTAAATTGATCTCCATTTTTGGAGTTCCAATTCTGTAGTTTACCGTTATTTGAATATGTTCTATGTAATCTTCTACCTTTGAGGTTGCTGTTTTTGGTATGTAGATATGTGATTTTGATAAGCTTCTAAATTTTTAAATCTAGCATTATCCTTTGCCTTTGCCTAATGCCTACTTCTAACAGGTTTTCAGTGTTCTTGATGAATTCATTTGACTGTGCATTTATTTTTATCTATATCATTATTTTTTCTTTACAGTCTATTATGGTAACATAGTTTCATTTCATGGTATATATGTACAAATGTTGTTCGAACTTGTGCGCTGTTATGACTTGGAGTAACAATTATCTTATCCTTGGTATTTCGTGTAGCATCATTATCAAAATAGGGAAGATGTGAGATTTTTTTCATTTTTTGGTGAAACTTTTCATATATTGACATAAATTGATAATAATTTTGCTGTTTTGATCTTAAAATAGATAATTTTTTAATCACAGATAGCACCTAACTACCTAATCTATTTCATGGATGTGTTTTTGTTGAAATGCTATTTCATGTTTTTGCTTCTACAAGAAGGTTTTTCCCTATGTTTTCTTGCTAGTGTTATGCATAATATTTGTCCCATGTGATTCATTGAAAAAGAGTGCTGTTTTTTATTACACATCAACACATTTATATGCTCTTGATTGTGTTTCTCTGGATGCTGTCCAGGGATAAAGAAATGCAATAGTATGTCTCCTTTCATGATTAAAGAAATTGAGATTTCTTTTTAGCCTTTATGTCTTGCTTCCATTTGAAGAACTTCTATTGAACTGAAGTTTTATGTACATGTATTAGTCATCATATACTGTCATCGTAGATTATTGAAGTGAAAATTTCTTTTTCTTTACATGTTTGGTTCATAGAAAGCTTTTTTCTATAAGTTGAGATTTTCAGACTACCAGCTTTTGTAATGGTGATTGTTTCATTTATCATCTGCTTTTTCTTCTCTTTTTTTTCCTAATTGGAGTTCCTGTTTGTGCTTTCTGCTAACAGATGTTCCATTTGATGCCGACACCCCAGGGAAGCTTCTATGTGTTGAATGACATATTCAGGTTGAACTATGCATGAAGACATGGTTGCCTTAATTTACCAGAGGCATGGGAATACAACATCCAGGATTGAGACTAGTTTGCTCATCCTAGTCCCATTCCCGGATCTCTTTTTTTTTTTTTTTTTTTTTGTGGGGGTGGGGGATGGGGGTTATTCACCACAATTCAGAGACACGTCTGTGGTATGATTGATTGAGCTGGTAAAATATGTTTCCTTATGAGTTGAATGTTTCAGGACTTATTACCTTATTAGTTAGCCGATGTCTATTGGGCATAATTCTTAAGCAATGAATCAAAAATCTCTGTTTTTATGCTTGTTCCCCCTGTTTCTAGGGATCAGTCTAAACTGCCCCGTATAATATAAATTCTTTCAAGTTCATATTTTCTTTAATTTTATCATTCTAGATTCATTTTCCAGGTCACCAGTAATCAGGCTAGGAGCTCTAATGACAGTGCCTCCGGTATAACCAGTGCTTAAGCACTAGCCCACTGTAGCCAAAAGAAAAAAGAGGGTTCAATGTAGCAATTGGAACTTGGAAACTCGGGAAGAACATTTTTTTTTCCTCTCGCAATGTTATTTTGTTCTCGCAATGTTATTTTGTTCTTGCAATGTTATCCAGGCATCGATGGATCTCTGTGTTATCCTCCGACTACTCTTACAATGAAGCAGCTTTAAAAGGAAAGTCAATTCTTCAATCTAGAATAAGGCACACCAGAAGATCAGTTTGAACATTCCACCTCCAAAAGATTAGAGAGAAATAAGAGGAAGGATAAGAGACTGGATTCTGCATCGTCCGTCCTTTAACTCAGTTATTATATACACATGGTGGTTTAGTATTAGCTCTGTTTTAGACATATATAACTCCGGCAAATATATAGTTCAGCTTTTTTCACCATTAAACCGATGTCTGGTAGGTCTACGTGGGGAAGCTCCGGTATCTTCAGAGGGAACTCCACATGGGAGGTTTCAATGTGGTTATAAATTGTTTTGTTTCTTTGTAGATAAGAATTTTTTTTCTGCATCCTCGTCATTAGTCCCGGGGCCTCATTCCAGCAAGTATACTTCCAAAGGATCTAAAAGGATGGCTGATACCGTCTTTAACTTTGAGAATTAGAGACACCTCGGACAGTTGCCAGACCACTGTGAGGACAATCATAGCGAAAGAAGCCAGTAGGTTACGGTATTCTGCCTCTTAATTACTCTTAGCTCTTTTGCTTTTTCCTCAAGACTGATTCTGCTATGCTCACTATCTAGTTGACCTGCATTTTCGTTCTTTGCATCTGCTTTGCCATCAATGGGAGAATTTCCCTCTTGTTGTTCAATTGATTCTTCAGATTGCTTTGGTTCGCCATCTGCTTTCAATGATTCTATCTGCTAAGACAAGTAAGATGTTCATAATGTTGTAACTTAATACCTGATTATAGAATTATTGTGAATTTCAGAAGACTGCTAAAGAACACTAACTTTCAAACTTCAGTTGAACAAAAATTTGACATGGAACAGAAAACTACAGTGAAAACATTTGCTTTACCATGAAGTACATTGATAACAACCTAGAACTTCTTATACTTTTCCATCGGATGGTACTTTATTGTCCAATAGCAGGGATAAACTCTCAGATTTTGATCATGGTAGGAAACTCAAAGCACTCTCAGAGCAAAAAATTATGAGTTTATCTGAAAAAGATAAGAAAGAAATCAGACTCTTGGCATGTTGTTGGTATATGGGTTTATGAAACATGTCATATTGAAATAGCAGTCAATATTGTACCAACGAGAGCTTAGCTTAGCACCTATTAACTATAAAATCTTAAGTTGAGATCAATGTCATACAAGCTTCTACAATAGTAAGGAAGGAGTTAACATTAACAAATCAGAACTTTATTTCAATCAGGACAATCTAGGTTGTGAAAGTATTTAAATAAGATTTATTAAATGTGTTTTAATACTTTCATAACTTAGACTACACTTTTTGTATAGTCTAGATTAAAAAACTCCATTCTCCTAACATATTTTCATTTTCAATAGTGTACAACTATACAAAAAAACTAAATGGAAGCTATTTACACCATAAATTGAAAAATTATTAATGATGTCACATGTCATGTGATTGAGACACATGGTTGTGATCAAGCCATGTTAGATTCGATTTTGTTGTGATTTGGAGTATGACAAACTTTGCTAATGATTGCCTTATGAAATGCCAGATCTGCAGTTGTTGGTAACCATCTTGTAATAATTTGGAATTATTTGATTTTAGTTAAGCTAATGGCTAAATTTTAGGGGAAGTTATTGGCCAAGCAGTAATTGGGAGACATGAGAGGCTAGTCTAATGAAATGGTAGACATGTGGCAAATTCTAGAGCAGTCTTGATCAAGTTTGTTGCTGAGATGTCCAATTAGAATAGGCAGTTTTGACCACATTTTTGCAATTGAGTTGTGGGTGATTACAAACCATTTTCTAGGGATTCATCAGCTATAACATGAAGAATAACATACGCAAACGAGATTTGCCCTCAACAAAAAACTACACAATCTATTTTACAAAATGCCTCAGTCAAGCTCTCAATTACCTTTAAAGTTAGGAGACTAGCTCTCAAGCTCTCTAGTTTTAGGTTTTAATTATTTTATGTGGGATCTGTTGTTTTGCCTTCATAGGTTCTCTTCTAGATCAGTAGTTTTGTCAACACATTTCAATTATGTCAATGCAATCAATTTTTAGTTTTGTAAATAGTTTTCATTATAGTTAATGCAATCTTATTACTTTATGTTGCAAAACTTTATTTTATCTTCAAAACGCTCAATTTACATTTATGTAGATAGTTCACTTAAAGTCTGTCAGTAGTTACATACTTAGATATACTTGCTATGTTGAGATTTGTAGCTTTCTTTAGCCTAAATTTACCTTCCAATTTTGTGATGCAATTTTATTTTTTGGTTAACTCTCTCTTTCTTTCTTTTTTTATTCAATTAACAAACTTTATTGTGGCCTTAGATGTGGGAAGACATTGCATCTGTCCAAGGCAAGTTTATAACCCATTTTTGTAGAAAAGCATCCCTCCTTCTTACAACATCATTTGGTCTAATTTGAGGTGCATCTTCAACATATAATTAACATTCTTCTAGCCATCTCACATGGAGGTTGATTGCTAGGAAAAGGAGAGTTGTTAAGGAAATTCATCTTCTTACTTTGAGTAAAGCAAGTGGCATACTTGTGTTATTTTGCCACGTGGTGGGAAAGAGGAAGATTTTTGGGAAAACAGAAGCAATCACAAATGCACCTAGTTCACTTGACAAGGAAAATAAATGAAAAAAAAAGGGTAAAGGTTTGTACAGTAAACTTTTCCTAATATAAAGCCCATAGATAGACAACAAGGAACATCTATGACCTTACTTCGACCAACAATTGAAGCATAGGCCCACCATAATTCATAGTACATTTGTACAAAACACAACGACTTAAAAAGCATCAAAAAAGTCGTATAAGCAGAAGCAAACAAGAGGCCTAATATTAAGTTATTTCTTAATTAACAAGAGTTTGGTTGAGTCGGTATGAGTTAGGATCAAGGATTTAACCCTCTACAACATTAAGTAGTCGACTTTTGATATAAAAAAAATTAAGTTGTTTCTTAAACAAATTGGCTTAGCTTTACAATTTTGTATGGATTCTTTACACAACCCTAAAATGAACAGAGCATTCTTATGGACCCTAGAAAAGTAAAAATCTAATCCAAAAGCGAAAAAAGATGAATTTCAAAAAGTTCATGGTTGGTAGGTAGTAATAACTATTATAACTATAAAACTAAGTTGAATTGAGAAGTTTACTTTATTTAAGCTCAAGTTTGTCTTTGTTTGACTAAGGAACATAACCTTAATTTTGATTTTATGATTTAATGAAAGCTATAATAAAGGTCAAATTTTAGACTGAAAAACCAATACTGAATGGTGAATAGTCATGTACCTGAGAAATCAACTTAAAGAGGAGAAGTTGCTCCTCATCATCTTCCATGATATCATCATCTTTGCCTTGCTTGTTCTGTATGAGAATGAAATCATCAACAACTTCACTTTACTTTTCCTGTATGAGCTTTTGGGTCATCCGATTGAGATTCTCAATATCTTAGTTCAATTTCATAGTCTAGGACTTTTGATTTGGCTCCAGAATTCCTTTGGTTCAGCCTCGAAGAGAGAAGGTGGGAGTCAAAGGGATTCTTAGGGCTCTACGACCATGGCAAAGTAAGGAGTATTGTCACATCACTAAAAATGGCTAGCTTCACTTGCAACAAGATACGAATGAGATATACAAGTGTGAACACAATAATTCAGATCATATTCACACTTATTGTAAATATTTATACCTTAGAATATTCTCTTGTAAACACTTATATATAGGCAATTGTACATACAATATTATGCAATAAAACAATAAACCTTTCTTCAAATATTTCTTTTTCTTTGTTGTTTTCAACATGGTATCCTAGCTATAAGCTCCTGGTTCTTCTCTTTTATCATCATTGCTTGGTTTTTGAGTTGAATTTTCATATCCATTATGGATTTGAAACTTTGTCGTTGGATTCTTTTCTCTTGTAGATTGGATTGTTTATTCTCAATTCTCAGGCCATTTCTAAGGTATTTTTATTGAGTTGTTATTTTGATTTTGGCATCTATTTTTTCACATTTTTAGAGATTTTTTTTTTTCAGTATTGTGAGTTATACTGATTTTATGGTAAGTTTTGAAAGAACTACAACTCATCTTGGTAAGTTTTGAAAGAACTGTGACTCATCTTGTTATTGCAATGGTTGCCAAAAAAGTGATAGACCAATCTATTTGTCAACCTTGAATCTCTAAAATAGGTCATGTTAAATCTTTTTAATGCTCTTACTGCCTTATCTGCTACTGCTCTAAGTACTAAACCTTGGTCTTTTGATTTTGGTTGTTTTAGTCACATGTCTTCAATTACGGCTCATTTCTCTTTAATGTCACCAAATAATTCCTTTCCTAACATTTATTCTATTCATGGCTTTTTTATGAATGTTAGTCACATTGGCAATATTTCTACAAATTCTTTGACTTTACCAAACGTTCTCTTGGTTCCAAAACTTAGTTATAATTTTTTATCTGTTGGTCAATTATGTGATCTTGGTCTTGAAGTAACATTTTTTACTTATAGATGTTGTGTGCAGTACCCATAGATAGGACAACTTCTTGAAACTGGTTGTAAGGTAGGGCATATGTTTGAGCTCAACTATCTACATATATATTCCTGATCATAAAATGGATACACCATCATTTTAAAATGATCGATTCATCCAAACCTTGCTTTGTGCTATTGAATTAAAGTCTTTGGAAATTCCATATCAACAAATCTTCCAAGCCTATGCTGCTACTAACATTTCTCCTCTTCATTTGTGGCACTTATGGCTTGAACACACCTTAGTCGATAAACTCCATCCTCTTATATTTCATGGTTTATTAGGATATGTTCTAAAAGAATCCTTGCATTGTGTCATATCAATTTGCCAAATGACTAGCTTTATCTTTTTCTAGTAGTCATTCTCTTTCTGCTGTTACTTTTGATCTCTTTCATTCTGATGTTTAGGGTTTATCTTTGACACCTACCATGAGGAGTTCCAGGTACTTTGTGGTATTTATTGTTGATTATACTCATTTTACCTAGATATATCTTATGAAAAATCGTTTTGAGTTACCACAACTTTATATTGATTTTGTTACTATGGTCAAAATCTAGTTCTCTAAAATTATCAAAGTTTTGAGAATTGACAGTGCCAATGAATATCTTAGTACTGAACTTCAATCATTTCTCAAAGAATAGGGTGCACTGACATAGCAATCTTGTCCTCACACTTTTGAACTGAATGGACAAGTTGAACGCAAACACAGACACATCGTTGATTTTATTTGTGCTCTGTTCATTTCGTCTTCTTGTCCAAAGTGATTTTGGGGTGAAGTTGCTTTTACAGCTGTTTATATCATTAGTTCAATTTTGTCATCAATCAACAATAATAAGTCTCTATATGAATGTTTACATAGTATTCATCCTACCTATGATCTTTTTAAGGTTTTTAGTTGTGCTTGTTTTGTTCCTCTTCCACTTCATGAACATAACAAGCTAGAGCCTAAAGCTCAATTATGTTGTTTTTTGGGTTATGGGATTATACATAAAGGATATCGTTGTTAGGATCCTATGTCACAAAAACTTCGAGTCTCACATCATGTTGTTTTTTGGGAACACACTATGTTTTCCTCATTATCAAACTTCCAGGTGTCATCTTTTGATCAACCTCCACTTTTTACTAACCCTTCTATTGAGCTATTTCCTAGTGATTATGATGTCGATACATTTGATGAGCTCTATGATGCCTCTCCACATACTTCACCTACTTTTATAAAAGATGTTCCAATTACTGGTAATGCATTATACAATGTTGAGTCTTTTTCCCTCACCTCCTTTGTATCACTTGTTAGATCTAACCTTGTTGA